TTTTTTTTTGAGTTGGAGTCTTACTCTGTCGCCCAGACTGGAGTGCAGTGGCATGCTCCCAGCCACCGCAGCCTCAGTACAATGGGCTCAGGTGATCCTTTGCCTCAGCCTTTCAAGTAGCTGGAACTGCAGGCATGCGCCACCACACCCAGCTAATTTTTTCTTGTTGTAGAGATGAGGTCTCACTATGTTGCCTAGGCTGGTCTCGAACCCCTGGATGCAGGCGATCATCTCACCTCTGCTTTCCAAAGTGCTAGAATTACAGGCTTGGCCACCACGTCTGGCTTTGTATTTTTAGTTCACCATAATCAGAAGTGTCTAGATACTGGTGGTAACCACTTTAAGCACTTCTTGTAACTGTAGAAGTCAAACAAAACTTGTATTCATCTTTTGTTATCGGTATATATTGAGTATTACAATTTTAATACAGTTTTTTCTTTTCTTTTTTTTGTGTGTCAGAGTCTCACTCTGTGGCCCAAGCTGGAGTGCAACAGCGCACTGATGGCCACCGCAGCCTCAACCTGCTGGACTCAGGTGATCCTTCTACCTTAGCCTTCCAAGTAGCTGGAACCATAGACATGTGCCACCATACCCGGCTAATTTTTTGATTTATTGTGGTTGCCAAGACTGGTCTCAAATCCATGGGCTCACGCAATCCTCTCACCATGGCCTCGTTTTTTCTTTCTTAAAATGTACATACATTTTTTTGGCATCCTCTGTATAAGATAATCCATGTAGAATACATACACAGAGCTGGGCACAGTGGTCATGCTTGTAATCCCAGCACTTTAGGAGTCCGAGGCAAGAGGAATGCCTGAGCCCAGGGTTCGAGACCAACCTGGGCAACTTGGTGAGACCTCGTATCTACAATAAAACAAAAACTTAGCCAGGCGTGGTGGCACACACCTGTGATTCCAGTTACTTGGAAGGCTGAGGCAGAAGGATCACCTGAGCCCAGCAGGTTGAGGCTGCAATGACCATGAGCGTGACACTCCACTCTAGCTTGGGCAACAGAATGAGACTTCAACTCAAAAAAAAAAAAAATACATACACAGGACCTAAGATAAGTGCTGGATGAATGCTACCTATGTTTTTATTATCTATCACTACCCCCATTTCCCTCTCCATACATGGGAAGCTAGAAACAATATTTCCAGAAGGGCAAAAAGTACAAAAAATACCAACTTGGTTTATTGGATAAAAACAGTGGTAAAATAAACATAAAGCCAAAAGTTAGAACAGGACATTTTCATATCCTCTCCCCACTCAAAAACATCATCTGGGTGTTTTAGAAGCCAGAGACACCCACAAAATGCTTCACTCTCTTCATGTGCTCTGGAAGCAAGGCCTTCACCAAGAGAACCCAGGAGAGAGAAGTCAGAGACAACCTCAGTCCCGCTTACCCCTTCTTCATTCCTAAAAGTCTCTGGGTTGGAAGGAAGCAGGGAAGGAATAAGAGGAGAGTGGCTGGGGACTGGCCTCCAGTCCACTTCCAATAATGTCCCAGACAGCTCTCCTTGTCTGCATCTCATCCCTAATAGGTACCACTGGCAAGGCTTGGGAGAGAGGGGAAAAGGGGTAGATGGTTCTAGAACCAGATGTGGTCTCCAAACTCTTCAGAGTCAGTAAAAGCCCTAGGGTGGCCAGTCCAGGACTAAGGGAGCCACATCTTTTCCCTCCAGCCCAACCAAGAGGTGAAAGGAAGTCCTTGGGACAGCATCCCAAGGTGCTCTTAAATCTCCACATCACTTTCCTTGTCGTTGTCATGGTCTCCATCATAGAACTCATTGGGTGCCTCTGGCCTGCAAGACAAGGGGAGAAAAGTGAGGATCTCACTCTCCAAATTTCAATCTTCTCCCAGTACCCTTTTCCAGAGCCGTTTTTCAGGCCCCCTGTCAGGGAATCACTCCTCTCAGTGCTATTCCTTCATTCGCTCATGTATTCAATAAACATTTATTGAGGAACTACTCTGTGCAGGCACTGTCACAAGCATTAGCAATAAGTAGAAAATAATAAGCCAGATGAGGTTTCTGTCTATCCTCAAAAAGCTTACCTAATAAAAGAGACTATAACTAACAAAGTAAAGAAATAGAGATGATAATTTGAGATGGTAGAGAGTACTAAGAATAAAATGAAGCGACATGACTGAGGGTGATGGAAGGAAAAGGGTGAAATTTCAGACAGGATTATTAGGAAAGGTTGTCCTAAGAACATAAGGTCAAAAGTCTGAGAAGGAGCTTGGCTGGAAAGAGAACAAGGCAGCTTGGATGGCTGGGAATAGTGTGCAAGGGGGAGAGTAGCTAGAGATGAGATCAGGGACACAGTTAAGGGCAGGACCTTTTTCTTTTTGAGTAGGAGTCTCACTCTGTTGCCCAGGCTGGAGTGCAGTGGCATGCTCATGGCCACCACAGCATTGACCTAACTGGGCTCAGGTGATCCTTCTGCCTCAGTCTTCCAAGTAGCTGGAACTACAGGCACATGCCACCATGCCCGGCTAATTTTTTGATTTATTGTAGAGATGAGGTCTCGCCAAGTTGCCCAGGCTGGTCTCAAATCCGTGGGCTCAGCTTCCCAAAGTGCTGGGATTATAGGTGTGAGTCACCACACCTGGTGATTTTCTTCTAAGTGCAAGGTAAAGGAAAGCTTGGAACAGAGGAGTGACATGATGGGATGTAAAAGCAAGATAGGTTCCAATAAGTACTAAACATAGGCTTCCTTTTTTTTTTTTTTTTTTGCAAAAGGCATGATCTGGGACAGAGCGTTAAGAAAATCAAAGAGAAGCTAAGAAAATGATCCAGGAAAAGCCCTCTCTGCTTGAGAAGCAAGGTCTCAGTTACCTCCAAGCACACAAGGGTTAAAGGTGTGAAGTCAGACACTCAGGTTTGAAACTCAGCCCTGATATTTAACCAGCTGTGTGACTTTAAGAAAGTTACTTAGCCTACCTGAGCCTTAGATTCCTCCCCTGGCAATTTGATGATAAGAGCCATCAGAGTTGTCTCATGGCAACAGAATGATGATATTTATGCTGCAATATAAAGCACTCAGTATTGAGTCTGGTGTTTAGCAAACCCATAAAAAGTGGTACTCTGCAAGTCATATGCAAGCTGGAGCTATAGTCATCAAAGCAGAACAGAAACTCAGTGGGTGGTCTGACAGTGAGGTAGGGCTTAGGAACAGGAAGAGGCCTGAGGCTCCTGCTGGCTGTTGAAAGGGAGTGGTACACTGCTGAGACTAGGCCCAGATACAGCCTGGAACTACTGGTGAAAAAGCTAAAATTCAACAAAAGGAAAAACTTAAACAAAGGTTTTACCAAACCAAACCAGACGATGAAAAACAGTTTCTGGAAGTCAAGCCTCAGAGACCTGGAGAAGTTGAAATGAAGATAATGGGACAAAAGGAAGCCCGAGTCAGATGTTCAGATACTCCCTCACCCTCATCGGGGAAAGGGGTAAAGGGTATCCATGGAAGAGGGGAACTGCAGAGGTCTCAAGGGTTAGAGCAGTAAAGCCAAGATCCACAGGAGGCATATGGAGACCTGGATTCTAAGAAAGAGAAGTAGATTATGAAAGGGAATGAGAAGCCCATCAGACTCCACAGCAGAGTCAGCTCAAACCTCTAACACTGCATGGGATCAGGACTGTGTGTTCCACAAGTGTCCAGCTGTGGTTATCCCTCAGTCACATAAGGAAGTCTGTTCTCCATTAAGTGCATCTGTTCTGCACTTCTGGGTTCTGTTATCTTTTCTCTCAACTTTTCAGAAAAGTTTTGGGCTTTAAAAAGAAATCTGGTGGTTTATTTCGACCATGCCAGCTCTGGCATGTCACCATTTCTTTTCTTCCTTCTCTAATAAACTTTATTTGAAAACTTACCAAAAAAAATTCTATCCTAGGCTTTTTTCCCCCTAATTTATTCCATCTATAAATATTTTAGTATGTATCTAGATAACGACTTTTAAAAAAATATATAACCACATGGCTAGGCACAGTGGCACAAGACTATAATCCCAGCACTTTGGGAGGCTGAGGTGATAAGATTGCCTAAGCCCAGGGATTCGAGACCAGCCTGGGCAACTTGGTGAGACCTTGTCTCTACAATAAATCAAAAAACCAGCCAGGCATGGTAGAATGTGCCTGTAGTTCCAACTACTCAAAAAACAAAAGACAACAACAACAACAAAACGTAACCACAATACAATTATCTCACCAAAAAAAATTAACAGAGCAAAGAAATCAAAGGGCCTTAGAGAGTAGTACACAGTAGTAATCTGTCCAGCTCAAGAGATAGAAGGACTGAGTAAAATGCTGGCAAGAATGCAAACTGCTACAGACTTTCTGGAAAGCAATTTGGTATCATATATAAAAAAATTTAGTGTGGACAGTCTTTGATCTAGCAGCAACAATCTCAGAAATCTAACCCCCTCAAATAAGCATGGAAAGATGTGTATGACCAGTCTGGGCAATGTAGAAAAGCCTATCTCTACAAAAAAATTAGCCAGGTGTGGCGGCACACATCTGTAATCCCAGCTACTCAGGAGGATGAGGTGGGAAGAGTGCTTGAGCCCAGGAGTTTGAGGTTCCAGTAAGCTATGATCACACCACTGTACTTCAGCCTGGGTGGCATAGCAAAATTCTCTTAAAAAAAAAAAAAAAAAGGCTGGGCACAGTGGCTCAAGCCTGTAATCCTAGCACATTGGGAGGCTGAGGCGAGAGGACTGCCTGAGCCCAGGAGTTCCAGACTAGCCTGTAACTTGGTGAGACCTCATCTCTACAATAAATCAAAAAATTAGGCAGTTGGGATGGCATGTGCCTGTAGTTCCAGCTACTTGAAAGCCTGAGGCAGAAGGATCGCCTGAGCCCAGCAGGTGGAGGCTGCAGTGGCCATGAGCATGCCACTTCACTCCAGCTTGCCGACAGAGTGAGACTTCAACTCAAAAAGAAAAAAAAGAAAAAAGAAAGAAACAGAAAACCAAACACCTCATATTCTCACTCGTATCTGGGAGCTAAACGGTCACAAATATGAAAATAATAGATAGGCACTGGGGACACCAATAAGAGGGGAGAGATGAGGGAAGTTAGATTCAGAAACTACCTACAGGGCACAATGTTTACTATCTGGGGAATGGGCTACCTGAGAACCAATCCTCCCACTATACAATATGTCCATGTAGCGAACATGAATCTCAAATAAAATTTTTAAGATAGCAATAAACACAGGAAAAAAAAGAGAATTACAGCAGACTAAAAGATGTAAGTCAGGGACGATCAGTCTGATGCCTTCCAATTTACTTTTCCCCTTTTCATCCTCTCTAACAAGCCTATGGGAACATCTTGCTCTCAAGTCCCTATCCCCAGACCTGCTGTAGTTTTCCTCAGGACCCCTCTCCTCTGCATCAGCCTCATCAGTCCTGTCATAGGTCAGGAGGTCTGCAGGTACATCGTGAATCTGCACACTAGGTGCATGGTTCAGCATCTTCAGGTTTTCAAAGATTGTCTGGCGGATCTGGTCCAGGTACTGGTTGGAAATGAGGAATAAAGAGTAAGCAGCTCCCAGCAGGACTCCCAGAGCATCCACTCTCCTAGCTGCCTTCCACCCCTACCATCCTGGTTTTAATCTCAGTTGTTTTGCTAGTTCAGATTTCCAACTGATAACTGTCTCTCCCTCCAACCCCAACTCCTTCTGCTTTAACCTGGGCTATCTCCCAGCTAACAACGGTGAAGTGGTGGGCTAGAACTTTCTTCTCTTTGGTTTCTCCTACTTCCCACATCCTGTACCTCTTCTGGGCTCCCCCACCCTTATGCTCAGCTTCTCTGAGCTGCTGACCTGGCGTGAGTTCTGATTCTCGATGCGGGTGCTGACATCTGGATGGAGCGTGAAATCTGGGGCAAAGTACTCGAAGTATTCTTGGGGAGGAGAGGAGATCAGGAAGAGAAAGTATGGCTCAGACCAAGACAGGCAAGTCCCAATTCTTCCCAATCTCTTTCCTTCCCATCCAGACAATCCCCTACATAATAGTTGCCCAATCTTTTCCCTGCTTAGAGCCCAGGGGTTTAGTCTGCAGAGCTCTGAGAATATAAATTATCTCATCTGCCTTTAAACCAGGTCATTCTGGAGTCTGGTGGAATGTCCTTCCTGTTGTGGGGTGTTGTGGGGTGGTCCTTACCACTATAAGGAAGCTCCTCACTAATGGCCTCTTCTACCAGTAGCGATGTCTCGTATGTCCTGTAACCAACCAGCAGAGGGGAATAGGCTGACCAAGTGGGTTGCAGAGCCCACCTGGCCATATCTCAGGGTCATCCTCTCAGACCCTAGCTCACATGGGAAGGAAATCGCGAGGGTACTCACCAGCAGCGGGCCACATTTCGGACAGTATAGCCACCACCACCCAGCACCAGTAAAGGGATATTGAAGCTCTTGACATATTCAACGCACTCCCTGTTAAAAGGAACCAGAGGAATGAGTGAAGGAAGTCATCAAAAGTCACAGTACCTATAATCCCAGCACTTTGGGAGGCTGAGGCGAGAGGACTGTCTGAGCCCAGGGGTTTGAGACCAGCTGGGTAACTTGGTGAGACCTCATCTCTACAATAAATCAAAAAAATAAGCCGGGCGTGGTAGTGCACATCTGTAGTTCCAGCTACTTGGAAGGCTGAGGCAGAAGGATCACCTAAGCCCAGCAGGTCAAAGCTGCGGTGGCCGCGAGTGTGCCACTGCACTCCAACCTGGGCAACAGAGTGAGACTCCAACTCCAACTCCCCAAAAAAAAAAAGCCACAGAATACACCCTTAGGTATTGCTTGGAAAGAGACATAGGGAACTACAAATGTTCTGTATCTAAATGTCGGTAGTGAAATTCATTAAGTTATACCCTTAAGATCTGTGTATTTATTTATTACAAGTATATTGTTCTCAATAAAAATATTAAAGTGCACTCCCACCTGTCCTGCTCAGTGCCCTCTTTGGCACCCTGCCTATTAATCAACCATTCTTATCAATGCACCAGCAAGTTCTGTCAGTTCTAACCTTCAGCAAGTTCTGTCAGTTCTAACCTTCAAAAGATAACTCAAACCATCTACTTCTCTCCACTGCCAATCTTAGTCTGGGTACCACATATCCTGTCTAGGCAACACCAGTGGCTTCCTAATTGGTCTTCTCATTTCCATGTTTCCCCATTACATTCCCATCACCTTGTACAATGCCTAGAACATAATAGGTGCTTAGTAAAAACCTATTGTGAATGAATGACCATCTAGGGAACCCTGTTCAAGATGACATTTCTAGTTTCAGTACAATTTGTAGCTATTTTTGATTCCCAAGAAGAGGTGAGGCTCATTCTCCAACCACCTCCACTCTATGTACTGAGGCCCAAGGCCACTTGAAAACCCAGCGGGGAGGAAGGAGAGCAAGTCTCACCCATGTCCTCGGATGCTGAGGTTGAAGCAGCCCAGTCGATCACAGCCCAGAGAGTCCGCTCCACACTGCAAAAAGCAAAACCCTATGCAGCTGCATTGAAACATTACAGGTGACCACCAACCTAGGGAACCTCCTCTTCCCTTGCTCCCTCCCCAAGTCCAGGCAGCACACCTGAGGAGGCACTGACCATATTACCTGAAGCACAATGCACGTTGGTTGGTAGAAGTCCACCACCTGGTTGATGACTGGCTGGAAAAGGTGCTTGTAACCTGGGAGAGGGCCAAAGATGGGCACCTGGCCCCCAAGAGGATGGGGAGACAGGTGATGGGGAGAACAAAAGGAAAAAGGGGGTTGAGAGAGTATGTAGCCCAGGAAAGGGGCAACCCAAAGAACCAAACCACTGGTTCTAAACTTCTGGAGGGAGTCCTAGACTGCTATGAGTGACTGATGAAAGCCAATAATCCTTTTCACAGAAAACTACATATATACACAATATGTTGCATAAAAATTCCAGGGGTTCATGGTCACTCTGAAGGTCATTCATCCTTAAGGACACCTGGCCCAACAGCAGACAACACCAGGCAGAAGAGGTTAATTCAAGGAGAGAAAAAAGGGACATAGGGAGAAGGGAAAAGACCTCAGTACTTACTCTGGTCATCAATGCCATCTCGCAGGGGCACATTGAGACAGTAATAGCGACCACTTTCTGCCCCAACTTCATACATGTCACCTACAAGGAAGTGGGTGGTGACAGCTATGCATGGCAAGCACCCAAAACCCAACTGCTTCAACCCCAACCCATACTCAGAGAGCTTCTCACTCCATCTACATACCTTCACCATAGGCTCCCTAGAGCCACTAAATCTCTAGCAACTTGTATTCATTCAACAAGTATTTTTGGAGGACTTACTCTGAGCCAAGCTGTTTATTAGGTACTGGGGATGCAGCAGTGAACAGAACTATGAAATTAAGGAAATCCCACCAAGCTTATAGCCTCAGGGGTGGGCATGATGAGGAGGGAGACGGGAAACAAACAAAAAACCATAATAAATACAAATAGCAGCGAGTGCTCTGAGAGGAAAAAAATGGGGAGGTGATAGAGTAATGGGGAAGGAGGTGATGACAGTAACTGGAGTGGTCGGGAAAGGCCTGAGAAGAGGACGTCTGAGCTGAGTGTGGAAGGCTAAGGAGGAGGCCATCATGGCAAAGAGCTAAGGAGTGTAAAGGGAAATGTAATCCTTATTCCATACCTGTGCCTGGGAAAAAGTAATTTCCGTATTTGTGGAAGGACACTGTCATGACTCGGTCAGTGAGGTAGAAGGCTTCCTGAACCCCATCACCATGGTGAATGTCAATATCAATGTAGAGCACCCGAGGGTGGTACCTGAGGTGAGGACAAAACCAGGGTCTGAGGCAGAGGTCAACCCCCCCCCAACTCCTTCCAAAAACTGGCTCTAGAATTATGAAGAGTCTGCTTCTGCCCAAGTCACCTGAAACCTGATACCACCAGTTCCTTAAGGGCAACCAGGGGCTCCAGCATAGAGCCTAGAGACAGGGACAGGAAAGAGATGTGCAGAGAACACTGAAATGTGAACAGGAAGCTGGGACTCTACAGCAGAGCATAGGAAAGGCAGCCTGAGTGAAACATCAAGAACTTGGGAAAGGCCAGACGCAGTAGTTAACGTCTGTAATTCCAGCACTTTGAGAGGCAGAGGCAAAGAGGATTGCCTGAGCCCAGGGGTTTGAGACCCGCCTGGGCAACTTGGTGAGACCTCATCTCTACAATAAATCAAATAATTAGCAGGGCGTGATGGTACATGCCTGTAGCTCCAGCTACTTGGAAGGCTGAAGCAGAAAGACCACCTAATCCCAGGGGGTTGAGGCTGCAGTGGCCATGAACATGCTTCTGCACCCTAGCCTGGGTGACAGAGTGAAACTCCAAGTGAAAAAAAAAAAAGAAAAAGAACTTGGAATAAGTTAGTGGAGGAGGGAGGTAAGGGTCAAGGCCAAGGCTGAGTCTGAGGATCTCCTCAGCCAAGAGTCTCATAAGTGGCCCCATCACCTCTCAGGCTACTTACTTGAGCAGCTCCAGGATGCCGATCACAATGTCGTTGACATAGCAGAAGCCAGAGGCCTATGGCAAGACAGTAGTCTTATAAAGAGAGAAGCAATTCCTCTACCTAGCTGCCTGTTACTGTCACCCTGACCACCTATCCTAGGGTGGCCACTGTCTCCCCCATCACTTCCTCACTCACCTCAAACTTCTTGGCATGGTGCAGACCACCAGCCCAGTTAATGGCAATATCACAGATCTGAAAGACAAACATACCCAACTCACAGTACTCCTACTTCCCACCCCTGAAGCTAGAAACCCAGGGTCAGGTTAAAGCCAAGTCCAGGGACCCACAGGAAAGGGAGAACAGGACTTGGGACTATGTTACCTTGTTGTTCAGCTGGGTTGCTCCTTGTAGAGATGCGCCTGTGTAACGGGAGCAGAACTCAAAAAGCCCGGGAAATACTGGGCTGTAGGGAAGAGGCGCAAGTTGGAACCCTTCCTACACTTCCCCATCCCCCGACCCAAACTCCTCCAGTTTCTATTTTTCAATAACCATCTCTCCCCCTTCTATACACCTGAGTTATCTGCATATTTATTCAACAAATATTTTGGACCAAACCATGTACCAAGTCCTGTGCAAGACACTGGATGGGAAGTACAGAAGCATTTAACTCTGTCAGGAAATTTGTACCCTAGCTGGAGAGAAAAGCAAGTAGCCTCCAGGTACTGAGGTATCTGCAAAAAAGGAAGTAATGTGAAAGAAAAGATGAGCTCTGTTTTTCTTAAAAGAGTCTTCAGGGATTGGCAGAAGTGGGACACAGCTTGTGGGGCGTGGGAGCCCATCACTAAGGGGGCCTGATCCTAAACCAGACGAAGTAAGGACCAGTGGGAGGCCCAAACTTAACCAGTACATAGACCACTTATGTACCTAATCCTGACTTGTACTCGACATCTCTAAAATTTAAAAAAAAAAAAAAAAAGAGCCAGGCGCGGTGGCTCATGCCTGTAACCCCAGCACTTTGAGGGGCCAAGGTGAGAGGACTGCCTGATCCCAGGGTTCGAGATCAGCCTGGGCAACTTGGCAAGACCTCGTCTCTACAATAAATCAAAATATTAGTTGAACATGGTAGCACATGCCTGTAGTTCCAGCTACTTGGAAGACTAAGGCAGAAGGATCACCTGAGCCCAGCCGGTCAAGGCTGCGGTGGTCAAGGCTGTGGTGGCCATAAGCATGCCATTGCACTCCAGCCTAAGTGAAAGAGTGAGACTCTGACTCAAAAAAAAAAAAAAAGTCTTCTATGTGTACCATATTTTAATATAATGTTCAATAATATTCTTTATAATCACACATTTTGAAGAAAAAATTATATACCTATATACATGAAGCAGTTATAAGAGCTAACTCACTGAAAGTCCGCAACACAGTGTGTGGCACCTGATAAGCCTTCAATAAGTGTCAGCCATAATTTTTACCATCTTTATTCTTTTTCTTTTACTTTTTTTTTTTTTTGAGTCAGAGTCTCACTCTGTTGCCCGGGCTGGAGTGCAGTGGCACACTCACGGCCACCGCAGCCTCAATCTGCTGGGCTCAGGTGATCCTTCTGCCTCAGTCTTCCAAGTAGGTGGAACCACAGATGCACACCACCACGTCTGGCTAATTTTTTGATTTACTGTAGAGATGAGGTCTCACCAAGTTTCCCAGGCTGGCCTCGAACCCATGGACTCAGGCAATCCTCTCACCTCTGCCTGCCAAAGTGCTGGGATTACAGGCGTGAGACCAAATCTGGTGTGCTTTTTTTTTTTTTTAATTTGAAGGTTTGTAGTACAACTTGGCTATTTATATTAGCTTACTTTGAAAACAACCAGAAATTAATTTAAAGTAAGGGAAATTCCTGGTTCTCATTTGAAAAACAGATAAGTACAACTGTAGCTTAAGTGCAGGAGGACAACTGTAGCAGACAAATGGCCCAGAGGTAGTAGTACCCCCATTACTGTACAAAGAGCATCTCAGGGCCCCAGTATAGCCTAAGGGCTGACTTTGCATTCCCAGACCTAGGAAGTAAACTCAGAAATAGCAGCAGGAACAACAACAAAAAAACAAGAAACCTCCCAAGACAGCATGTAACTGAACACCAAATAAGCAGTGCAGCATATGCAGGACAAAGCTCTTATGGGCTGGTGTAGTCAAGAAAGGTTTTATGGAGGTGGTGTGAAGACTGAGAAGGTCTTGAAGAGGCTGAATGGAGAACGAAGGGCATTCCAGGAAGGCATCCCATGCAGCAGAGGTGTAGAGATAAGGTTGAGAAGATGCCTGATGCCAACCTAGTGAGTTGGCCTCTATCCTCTAGTCCTGGTTGTTCCTGTTATTAGGATCTTTCAGGGAAACAGATTAGTGAAGTGGTTTAAAAACTTGGGCTCTGGCTCTGAATCCTGCCAACTCCACTGACCAGTTATGTGACCCAGGCTAAGTTACTTAAATCTCCCCAAATCTCAGTTTACTTATGCATAACATCAGGAAAGGATTTATTATATCTCAGGGTTAGAATGAGAATTAAATAAATGTACCTGCAACCTTCAGCATAATATCTAGCGAAGTATTCAATAAATGGAAGCTATAGTGGGAAACTATAGGCACAACAACCTGATTTCTTTTTTCTTGCTATCTCCCAGGCTGGAGCACAGTAGCACCATCATGGCTCCCTGCAACCTCAACCTCCTGGGTTCAGGCAATCCTCCCATTTCAGCCTTTCCAGTAGCTGGGACTATAGGTGCACACCACCACACCCAGCTATCTTTTTTTTTTTCTATAGAGACAAGGTCTCGCCATGTTGCCTAGAACTCCTGGGCTCAAGCAATCCTCTCCCAAAGTACTGGGACTACACGAGTGAGCTATTGTGCCCAGCCAATAACCTGTTTCTTTAAAGAAATAAATTCAGCCAGGCGCAGTGGCTCACACCTATAATTCCAGCACTTTGGGAGGCCAAGGCGAGAGCATTGCCTGAGCTCAGGGGTTTGAGACCAGCCTGAGCAACATGGCAAGACCTCATCTCCACAATAAATAAAAAAATTAACAGGGCATGGTGGTGCATGTCTGTAGTTCCAGCTACTTGGAAGGCTGAGGTGGAAGGATCACCTGAGCCCAGTAGGTCAAGGTTGCAGTGGCCATAAGTGTGCCATTGCACTCCAGCCTGGGTGACAGAGTGGACTACAACTCAAAAAAAGAAACAAATTCAAAAGAAGGGAAGCTATAGATTAAAAGTCTTAAGAGAGATATATCAGCCAAATGTAATGTGTAGCACTTGTTTAGATCCTGATTTAAATAAACTAACTGCAAAGAAAGTTATGAGACAACTGGGAATATTTGAATACTGATTGTATGTTTGATATTAAGGAATTACTGTTAACTTCTTAGGTTTGATAATGCTACAGTATTTTAAGAGAGTATCATTTAGAGATATCTAACAACATATTTATAGATAAAAAGGATTTCCTTTAAAATAATCTAACATGAAGGGGTACAGATGAAGCAAGGCAGGTCACTTCTTCCTGTGTTAAAGCAGGTGATGGACATGGGGGTTCACTACTCTACTTTCAGAAATGTTTGGTTTTCCCTAGTAAGTACACAAATAAAAATAAATAGAAGTGGCTAAATGTTAGCTGTTGTGGTTACTATTTTTTCATGGATGTATACTAGAGTATAAGCAAGGATCATGGCTCTCATGGCTCACCTTTGTTTTCCACACCCCACCCCATAGGGTCTGACCCTGAATCTTCTATGGATGACATAAGCTCAAGGTAAGCATGAGTAGGTCAAATCACTCTCTTGCTTTTTAGACCACTTTGATGACTTCCCCCTATTCTAGGGGTATAAACTCTAATTTTTACTAGGGCTGTTTACTTTTAAAAGGCCCTATCTATCTTGTTAGCCTCAGGACAGAACACCTTCCTCTTCATATTTTGCACTCAGACTTTTTTCTGTTCTTCAGACGAGTCATACTCAACCCTATCACAGACCCTTAGCACATGTTGTCCCTCCTGCCCACCATAGTCCTATTACCTTCCAACCACCTTTCACCTAATTGCGTCCTACTCCTTTTTTAGATCTCAGCTCAATCTTCATTATTTCCTCTAGGAAGCCCCCATTGGTCAGCTACCCCCAACATAGACAATTCTCCCAAGTATACACTCTCATAATCTGTTATGCACCTCTCCATCATTAGACTTAGCACAAGGACAATATTAAAATTTTGTTGCTGTTCATCATTGTATCTCCAGCATTTAGCACAGGGCCTGGCCTAGAGCAAATAACCAATAAATATTTATTGAATAAACAAATGAGTGAATTATAACTAATTGACAAGTAGGCCCCCCCCTTCGTATCTTCCCACTGCTGCCACAAGACCTCACTGAAGGGCTGGCATCAAACTGCTAGGTATCAAAAGTCCCAGTCCTCCCTCACCAGTCATCGCCCACGTTGAAGGCATTAAGGCTCTTGGTGAAGCCTTGCATATTGGTGGGGCTGACTCTCTGCAGGAAGTCAATGTAGTCCTCAGAGTGGAAGCGGCACATGTCATGCTGGGAGGCCTGGTATGGCTTGAACACCTCGGGATGGAGACACAAGATGAACCCAGGCTGGGTCAGTCCCAGTCATGGGGCCAAGACCACCCACACAGAACCCATTCCTGGATACTGTCCAAAACCACACAGCAATTCCCCCAACCCTCAACCCTTGTTATTCTATGAGACAAAATGTCCATGAAGAAGCGAGACCCCAATTAGCCAGGTAGGTTATTATGATCAAGGTTTTCTGATGACCACCTCCAGTCCAGCCTCTCCTACCTTCTCAACCTTGAGCCCTGATCCATCTGCCCTGTTCCCTGGATCTCTTATTCCCTGTTCTCTCCACTCTCATCTCCTCCCCTGGGCTCTGATCCTGCCCTCTTTCTTCTAGGTTCTTCATTCTAGAGTCAAAAATATGGAATATATGACCTGCTAATTATAATCTAAGGTGCTAAACCAAAGATTTGTTATCTTTGGCAGGTGTGAGGGGGAAGGTAACATACCTCTTTGAAAACTGGACAAGAAAGAGCCTTTCTTCTCCCAGAAAATGCAGACAGGTACACACAGGCAAATGATCTCAAGGGATTCATAGATTACTTCACTAAAATCACCTCAGTCTTTTCTATGACTAATTCACTTGTCTGTGCTTTGGCACAAGCAATGAACACTCATTCATATTGTTGACGAATTCCTCTCGGGATGCCTAAGGCCTGGGCTTAACTGTTATCCCATATCACAACTATAAATTCCAAGCTGGGGACAGACAGCATGTGTATGTCTGGAAGATGGAAGACTGACTAGCGATTAAACAAAACCATGTAGAAGCATTCTAGGTTAAAGAGGGTCTACCTAGGACATCTGCTCTCTTCTATACACACATACACATTGACACAAAGAGGTACAGTCACCCCTGGAGCTCTAACTTCTTGGAGGTAGAAAAAAGTGACAGAGGAGAAGGGGTGGAAACCAAGGGTAAACTTCAAACTCACGTACAGCGATCAAGTCCCCACCCCCATCCCTGAGGCCAAGGCACTGTCCACACCCTAAAACACAGAGGAGGCACACACCTCCGGTCTTCAAACCAAGGTCAGAGGGGAGCCGACCTAACTAAAAAAACGACTTTCATTAAGCCAGAAGACACCTCCTCAACACTTTGCACATAGAGGTGCCCCTAGGGGTCTTCTATCCAGTTCCCCCTACTCTAGGGGAGGGTGGCACTTGGTGCATTCAGTCCAGCTCACCTATCCCTAAGGTTCACCCCACCCCCAATTCCCGGCAGAGGCGGCAAGACTCACGATCATCTTCTTATAAAGACCGTAATGCAGGACCAGGCTGTGGGTCAATGCCAGGCGATGGGGCTTCATAGGGTGCCCAGCCCCTGGGTGTAGGAAGAAGAGTTCGCGTCAGTTTCGATCCCTGGAGTTGCAGCCTCTGCCTTAAAACCTCCGCTTCCCAACCCGCGTGCACAACGTCGCTTCCTCACCGTAGTGGAAGTTGCCCACGTCGGGGTCGTAGAAATAGGCCACGGTCTTGGCCATGGTGCCGGCGGGACCAGGCCCCGCGCCTCCGCCGCCCGCCCGCCCGCCGGCCGCCAGCTCCGCCCCCAGCGTGCGTGCTGCGCGAGCACGTAGCCTGCCTCTTCGCAACCGAGAGCCCGGGCCCGCCTCCCGAGACCACGCCTAGGACTTGCCCCCTCGGGAGCTCCGCCCCTCGCCTTTCCTCGCCCTCGTGGGATCTGGGCTTCTGCGTCCGGACTTGGGTGGGGAAACCATAGCTTCGGCCCTAGGATGCAAGGGCCATTTCTTTCCGAGCGGGGGCCCAGTCCTCGGGAAGCCGAGCCATCCCATCCAGCCGCTTGCCCCCAACGGGGCGCAGGCCGTGGTCACCTCCCGAGAAAGCTCCGGAGATCCGGCCGTTCCGCCCCTCGCAGGTGCAGAAAGCCAGCTTCCTCCAGCCCACCGGGAAGATTCTTGACTATCCACTCGGCCGGGGCATCTGAGGACAGGAGCTGTGCCAGGCGTGCCGGCTAGATCAGTATAGATACTCCCGCCGGGCAGCATGTCCCCCCCTACCCGGACTCAGGCACAGCGCCGCATACTCCCGCCGGGGCCCGGCGCAGTCACGCGCCCACCCCACTCGCGCTCACACACGCGCAGGGCTCACGCTCCCCGCCCCGCACGCCTGCGCTCCGCCCCTTGGTCCTGGGCCGGCGACTGGCGAAGCAGCTGGGAAGCCAGGGCGGCTTTGGAGGCGCCCCTCTTCTCCCTTACCCAGGGC